GGGGACCCTCTCCTCCCTCCCTCCCCCCCCTGTCATTCTCTCTGTCTGTTTTTCCCTGGTGCCGGGTTTTGAATCGGGTCCTTCTGTAAAAGGGCCGGGGCGGGAGGGGTCCTGGGGGGGGCTTCAGAGCCCTTAACTCTTTGCTGTCCGGCTCGGGGAGGGGAGCGGGGGCTGGTGGCGAGAGCGGGGGGAGGGCAGGAGCCCGGACTCCAGGGTTCTCTCCCTTGCCCCTGGTGGGGTCAAGGTGACTGTGGACCATTATCCCACTGCCTCTTGGTTGCCATGGAAACGCAGGAAATGCAGCAGCGGTGTGGGGGGGAGATGCCGGCACAACAGACAACACCTGGCGCTCGCCTCGAAACCCCCCGTCTGCCCCGGATACGCACACGTCCCCCAACAACCCACAGCCTGTGACATACAACACACCAACACCCCCAGCACTCAACACATCCACAACAACCCATAACACCCAACGCCCCCTGCCCCAGGCAGCCCCCGTGCAGCCCACCCACCCTCGGTAACACACAACAGGCTGCAGACGCCCCAGTGCCCCTTGCCTCCCCCCTTCGCTTGCTCCATGGCTCAGTGCCCGGAGTGTGACCCGCCGAACCCCCCAAACGCCCCCAGCAGCAGGATCCCCACGACGTGGGAAATCCCTAAATCACCGCAAGCCCCCCCCCGAGACACTGGCCCAGGGGAGCAGGTGCCAGATCCGGGTGATGGGGAGTGCGTTGTGGGGCCCATCCCCTCTGGGGGGCGCCGGCTCCCCCCCCCCGGCCCCAGGGCAGGGCCTGGCTGGCTCAGGGGGCGGGGGGGTCAGATGTCTGACACCTGGGGTCTCTCTTCATGCCTGAGGAGTTTACAAGTGGCTGGGGGGGGTTCAGAGACCTTGGGGACAATCCCCACCCCCCAACATGGCCCAACCGCCCCCCCCTTCTCCCTCTGCTCAGGGGGCCTCGGACAGACGCTGTCAGTTGACGCATTAACTCCCTGGCTGCTGGAATATTTTTTTCCTGAGAAACCAACCACAGAACTAGCAGGGGCTGCGGGTCGGGAGTG